TACTAATAAAAGTTAGGGACGATTTTGGTGAAATAATGAAATATGATCCTTATGTATTGATTAAAAACGTTTTACTAGCAAAAGCTTAGTAATACGTCCTTTATAATATATTTTAGACGCCTAACTAACTGGAATTATGAAAACAAATATTTGCTTAACCTCTATACTATCTTACTGTAAATTAAATATTAAAAAATGTTTTGGATTTGATATGTCTTCTCTTTTTCTTCCAACTAGGCCAAAACAACTCAGAGAACATAGAAGGCAAGTTCAAAAGTCAAGAACGAACAAAATACACATGACTTACAGGTTTTTCTTGCCGATTAACCAACTCTTGGAACGTGATGCGTGTACTTCTAATTTACTCATTCAAGGGAAGATTAGACACACAGACAAACTAACTAGAAAAGGCCTAACACATACATTTGACCTCCTGTCCTCAATATACAATTATGGATTAAAGTCGAAATAGTATTACTAAATGTTTTAGCTTACTGCGACCGCATAAAATTTACGTACCATTTTGGATCACTACTAAGTAATCTTTGACAAATAGTTGGTTTTTTTGGATAATAAAAAAATGATACGGTTAACACCATTTTATATGTCCTAAAGTAACTAAATATAGCGAAATTCTTTCTAAGGGACTCTAAACAAATAACATATAATTAAAATAACCCATTGCGTCATTGAATAAAAATATAATTCAGAGAAGAAAATTTCCATTTAGACGAAATCATCCACTTAAGCTGTACATTAGTAAATATATATGTCTATAGACAATTATAAATACGAATGTACAGCTTGAGTAAATGAAATCGTTGAAACGAAAATTTTCTTCGCTGAATTTCCTTTAAATAGTATATAGTCCAAGGAAAAAAAATCTAAATCAACATACGCATCAAGGTACGATAAATGGGAAAGCAAATACTTATTACATCAACAAGTATAAACAGGCTAACGTTCATAAGTAAACCTAAACACTCACTTAATTGCATATACAGTGACTTATTGGGAAATTCACATACAAGATAAATTGTAAGTGGAAAGAAATTATGAGATATTTGCCCAAATCACTAATATAATCATGCTTAACTTTGCAAAGCCCTCGAGAGTTTTGTAAACAGTATTGTACAATCTACAGCGTGGTATTTAAAATGACAGTGGTATTTCCCCTCAGAGTTAAATTTATAGTTCTGATCATTTATTAAGCGTTAACAATACTGTCTTTACTTTATTAAATTAATTTCAGTTAAAGTAACACCAGAAAGTATTGTTTTTTTTTCAAAGAAATTTAGCACCTGTGATTTTTGAGTACACTGGGATTTTTGTTTGTTGCACTTTTAGATTTAACAGCTCACGGTTTCACTTTTTCTTGTCATCATTTTTGTCTCCATGTATCTTCTTGTGTCTATTTCTTTTTCAAACGTCTGATTGTTGACTGGAAATGTGCCAAAAAAGTAAGTGCTAACAACCCGACAATGCTGCTGAGGCAAAAACAGTTTCCTATTCGAAGCGATTTCAGTGGTAGATACTACTAAAAGGCACATTAGAAAGCGTAACCAAGATGAATCAAATGACATTCACTCGGTAGATACACAAGTCGATGCGAAGTCATCCCAAATGAGCTGAGTCGATTGACTTACATGAACCAAAAGAGGAAGGACCGACTTCAAAGAGATCAGTCAGCAACGAAACCTCAAGAAAGGGGGTTTACCTTGCTACCACTCTCCAGAGGGAAAGAAATGCCTATAAGACCTAATCGTAAGGCTAGGACTGTTTCTATCAGGAAAAACAAAAATATGACCACACAAATCATCGACAATCATTTAGGATCTTGTAGTGTGTGCAACGAGACTGTGATTGCTACTCCAATGAAAGCTGATGAGCGGGTACAAATCAGGAATAAGAAACAACCGAATGTTGTTAAAGAAAAACCAGTCACCCAAACAGTAGTTGAGAGATCGAATGTCGATCATAGTGACACATCAGTCGTCTTTCATAGATTCAAGGAGAGTGAAAGCTCAGAACCCAGGACATTGGGTTGATAAAAGATCTACTTAACCAACTAGTGTCTCAAGCAAGCTCTAGGGTCACCTCGCTAAAGGTCTATAGACAAAATCAAACCAAGCTGCTAAATATCTCAATGAAGGACTTAAGACTACAGAATAAACATAAAATGAAGGGATGTGGAGATTTCGTCCGTAAAGCCTTACCGCTCACGGACCGTATAAAAAGACCAGAAGCTAAAAAAGAACTTGAACTAAGTTTAGATGTTGGCGAGGAATTTAGAATTTTCGGGTGAGACTTTGACAAAGAATGATACCAAAGCCACTTTGGATGAAGCATGAAGCAATCTAAACGATTTATTCATTGAATCAGTCTTAATGTTTCTATTTGAAGCCATATATTTATGATGAAAAATACAGTAGGAAAACAGACAAACATAGATCATATTGATCCGTTGGTTACGTTAGATATGTTAAATTGAATTAGACAATATAATCACCAGTGTTTTTATGGTTAAGCATGTAATAGGTGAAAATGGCTTCTGTTTACTTTAATAGTTGAACTTATGAGTCAATCTAAGGCTAGATCACCATCAAAAACCTAGAATCACTGGAAGACCGTTTCATGTCGTCGCTGTGGTCTAGTGGTTAGGACATTGCGTTGTGGCCGCAGTAGCCGACGTTCGTTTCCTGGCAGCGACATCCTATTCCTTGGGGTGTGGCCCCCTAAGAAAACCGCTTGCTTCGGTTTAGGCACCCGAGCAGTATCTTAGCCCCCACACAAAGCGAATGATTTAAGTGGCGCATATCTATTTGGTGCCTTTTTGTACCTATGTTTATGTGTTTAAATAAACAATCTGAACGATCTTCGGATCTGTTACATAGATGCCTGTAGCTTGCTCAACATGCGATCGGAGCTACGTGTACAGATAGACTCTATCAAGCCGGATGTAGTCGCCGTCACAGAAACTTGGCTGACGCAGTCTGTAAACAGTAGGGAAATTTATTTAGAAAGTTTTACACTAGTAAGAGCTGACAGAACCCAAAAAGCGTAAGAGAGGAGTAGCTCTATTCACTAGAAATATTCTTTTTGCCGTCAGTGATATCCTGTGAAAGTGAGACGTGTGAATTAGTTATTTACTGCTTGAAATGCAAAGGACAGGAGCTTCTGATTGGTTTGGTTTACAGTGAGGAGAATTAGGTGTCGCTAGACGGTTCCAACACTTAGTCATTAAGTGGTCGATGTTATTATCTTGAAAGACTTTAATGCACCCTATGGTAGAATGGGAAGGTTCGAGGACTGAGTTATTAGATAATTCTTAAAACAAAACCTAGTTGACAGGGTTATCACATGTAACTTAGAGCAACATGTGAAAGAAGCAACTAGGCACGACCCAAACTCCGAATCATCCTTAAAAGATCTCACATTGACCGATTATGAGGGGGAATCTCGACGACAGCCGGATTATTTCCAAAAACGTAGCACGGCTTTAGAACATGTTATCCATGTCTCACAAATTTCCTAGTAGACCGTGGAATTTGGTGTATTTATAAAAATCAAACTTTACCAACGGATGAAGCCTATATTGACTTCAGTAAGGCTTCCTGCTCTCCTATCATAATCGGTTTTGTTATACACTGACCATGTCAAGATATGGAGAGCCATAAAAAGTAAGAGTGATAGTTTAGACCTCTAAAATGACCTGAAGAAATTATCTGAGTGGTCTGAAACTTGGCAGTTGCCGATAAATGCTTCCAAGTACATTATGATGCATACTGGTCACCAAGATACAGACACATACACGGCGGATAACACTTAACCATCTGTTTGTTGTCTAGAGACACAATGATCTAGAAGTTATCGATCGACAAGACTTGAAAAATAATGCACATTGCCGTGTGATATCCGGTCAAGGTTTTAGAACTCTATAGTCAATACCTGAGGCCTTTAGTCATGTAGATGCTAAAATCTTTTTGACTTCGTATACAGTATTCATCCATTCTAAACTCGAGTATTGTATACAAGCGACTAGTCTCTGAATAGAAAGCGATAGTGATTTGTTGAAAAGGGTTCAAAGAACAGCAATTAAGCAGATTCCCAGAATAGCATGGGTGATGATGATAGTTTGGCTAAACTAAACCTAATTCCCTTGTCATATAGACGAACCACAGGTGACCTGATCAGTTTCTAACTACTTAATGATATGTTGGCATCTGATATGCTGTCATCTTTCTTGCCTTCCAAAAGAGAGGATTTACGAGGACACTGTAAGGAAGCTCACAAGCCCAGAACAAATAACTTGTCAGCTGACCATTGACCTTCCCATCAAGTCATCAATCAATGGAACTCACTACCTCAACACGTGATTGAAGCTTCATCTGTAGACGCATTCAAAAGAAAGTTGGATCAACTGAGATACCGCCATTCCCACGACTAACACAGATCTCTCAGTCTCCAGTTCTTTTCAAACTGTAACTGATGTGATGTGACGAATGAATTTTTAATATATGTATGAGATTGTTTTAATTTTTAGTTATATAGATCTGATGTACTTAATACAAAGTGCAAGTCAGCTATGTCTAGAAAGCTGATCAAGTGCTGGCTGTTGTATACAACTGACAACGCTTGTCAGTCCCTAGATTAAGATATGGTACTCCAATATATACAAGACAAAGTATCATTCACAAAGAAGCCACCGCGATGAAGAACATAAACTACAGTTTTCGTCTCGACTGCAAAAATTTGGTGAAGTGAACACGCAAAACAAAAAATTACTAATTATCTGTGCCAACCCAAAGCGCTGTAGAGCATAAGCTGTTACACTTCGCATTTGGATACTCAAGGAAGTAACTAAAAGAACTAGACGAACATATGATGAAGCTAATATTGGCATATTATAGTTTATTAAATGTAATGCACGACGAAGCATCTCTGTATATTTTATCCTTACAATAAAAATACTTGAAAATAAATACCAACTATAGACTCACTTTTGCATTAGGATAAAGTTCTAATAACTCCTTGTAGTATGCACATGAAGGGTGATCAATGGCAGCCGTGTATCCTTTGAAAATTTTATGACACAGAGCTTTATCGAGTTTTTTATCCGGCGAATCACTCAATTTCCTATCAAGTTCCATCCATTTCGTGATGTGTGAATGTTGATGCAAGTATATTTCCTTTAAGTGATAGCAGGGCTTTTTATAAAGCAACTCTAGAGCAATTTTTAAACTATTGGTACCAGTACGACCCAGACCTGCACCTATTACTACGAGACCAAACTCCTCGTCCTCACGACCCATTACCCACGAATGATAAGCCCCACTGAATTGCACACACTTTATTCTCACAAGGTCATTTATTCGTTCTGCAATTTGATTGAGTAAAATCAAATTGACCAATCGCCTGATACAATATTGGTGACAGGCGAAACAGACAGGTCAAATTGTTGACGAATGTGACTTCGACATGAAAACAAGAAGCATTTTCCTTGAAAAAGCTTGGACCAGATTGCCAGGCGAAACGTTGGATTTACAAGAAGCATTCAGTTTGAAACGATTGATGGTACCATTATGTAAAGAGCCGTTTCTAGAGAAATGACGGTGAGACTATAATTAAATTACTAAGGAGAGATTTGTTGCTGTTTACTTATGGATACACAGATCCGGCTTAAGAAGTTTGATGGCTAATGTGATGCCGTACAATGACCCAATAAATGTAGATGACTTTAAGCAATCAATACGCAGCAAGGACGAGAAAGACTGATACTCTTTGCCTCAAGGTTGGCCCATGCTAACTAGCCTCGAACAAAGAACTGAAGACTAATGTTCACGACTCCAAGATCGTTATTTAATTCCAGATATTCATTTGTATACACATAAGACTAGACTACGCAGCAGACCAGTTGGGTTACAGTATTAACACGGAACAGCAACACTAATGATGGGAAAACGGAATACTAGGTGCACAAATGATCGGTCCTAGTTTATGAGTGGAAAATGCTATGGCAGCAAATTACGGCTCAACTAAAAGCTTATATTTAGGATAATAAGGAAATAATAAAGCAAAAATACCTAATAAACATGCAGTCAATATATGTAAGTCAAATCGTGGAAAAATAGCTTCCAAAGTTTCTACCTCATAGTTAAGTTGTCTTCAACAACAGCTACGGCTCAGATGGCGTTAAGAAGAAGAGTTTGATTATCGATTGATGACTGAGATATCGCAATATATCAACGTGATGTCCTGTATCAAAGAGATGTCTCGAAATGGCATTGCTTAAAGCCGTTAGTATCACTGAGCTATTGCTTTATGAAATATGTTCCTAGAGTTAGAAAAGGTCCTTTTTTCTGTCGTATCAATTCATTTGGCTTGACAGACACGTGTAAGTGTGTTTCCGTATTTGACAGTAACATGGAAGGAGTACCTGTCAGACTTTGGACGCAGTAAAAGACATATTGTTTTGTACAAGATAATCAGCTTGGCTACAAAAAAACATGCTGTTCACTATGGCTTTTTTTCGACTTACTGTTGCGGCTACACTGTCACCATTAAAACTTAAAATGAACAGAAATAGATATCTTCTTGACTGTGGTTTCTTAAAGTCATTTTTTACATACTGGGTGAATTCCTCTGATATTGCCATTTAACTATAAGTTTACGTTACATCTCACAACTAATTTGTTGAAAGAAACTAATTCCCCTAACTTCACATTATAGTGTTTTGTACAGAATAACATGACGGAAAAATACGAAATGGGAGTGATTTTTATCATTTCTCTTCATTCCTTGCCATAGTAGTTATTGTTTGTAGGATTTTAAAAAAGCATGTATCATCTCTACTTGTGTTTATGAATCATTTACGAGATTTATTATTTACTATTGCATATCGTAATCAATAAACAAAATTCCGAACCCAAATTTGCCTTCATAAAACCTTGACGAATATAAAATAACTGAAAGCTTACAATTAACTACACATTAAGCTTAAGTTTAGTTCTAATCCTAAAATCTATATTAGATATATCACGCGTTGAGAGGTATCTAATAAACATGCAGTCAATATACACAAATCAAATCATAGAAAAATAGCTTCGAAAGTCCCTACCTCATAGTTAAATTGTCTTTATCAACAGCTACGGCCCAGATGGCGTTAAGAAGAATAGAGTTTGATTATCGATGAATAACTAAGAGATAACAGTATGTCAACGTGTTGTCCTGTATCAAAGAGTTATCTGAAAATAGTATTGCTGAAAGCGGCTAGCCTTATTAACCTAGGACATTTTGGGATGTTTTAGAATCAAAAGTAGGGCCTTCCTGTCCTGTCAATGTAACAGGTTTGGGAGGTACATGTAAATTTGTGAAGGCAATTGTTTGTAACATATGACCGGTAAACGATGGAACTTCACCACCTACTTAGATCGGGTATGTGGCTTTCTTCACTGTAAGACTTTTACTCGTATCTGCAAAAACGAGTCGCAACTAGATCATCCCTAGGTTAGCCTTGGATGAGAGTTAGTTGAAAATTATGCTATTAAGGTGAACTTTCTGAGTAAAAATATTTCCTTGACCGATGATGCAGGGTGTTATGACATTACTTCACACAGAATACCGTCTTCGAGTTACAGATACATAAGGAGTGGTTTTCCTCACCGCTAACCGATTTGGATCTTAATCTGTTGCATCTAATACGACAGAATAATATGAGTAACATTTGTTGAATGTGGAGACTGACCATCGTGATACCGTTAATGTATATTCAAATGATAAGTTATTGACCAACTGGCCCTTAATACTTTGTTCAGATTACATAAACTCTAGTGTTAATCTGACATCAAAAACATCATATAAAAAAGTGTATTCAGACATCAGCTTGATTTGTTTTGGGGATTAAATAAATCCTTACCACCTGTCTTTATTTTCTAACCGTGCGTCATTATACTTGGAGTTTCAGTAACAATTATGAGTCTGCTAGGCCTTCCGCAGACTTAATATTATATTATATTCATTCGTGGTAGAGAACCTATTTTGACCAAGTCGCCAGCTACGAAGAATCACAATTCAATGTGACCTCAATGTTCCTATGCTGTCTGAATGGTCATTCGGTGCTATCTAATCACCGAACCTATGAAGAACAAATGAATTGTGATAAACTTTCACGTTAACGGGAGATTCTTCCAAAATGAGTGTATCTCAGACACTAAAGAAATACTTTCCAAGACGTGAATTAGAACTTGTACACTTCTTACTGATCACTTCTGATTCCGTTTGATATATATCAGAGCCTTTATTCGTGTTGAGTTCCAAAGTGCATGCCTTTACGTGCAACACAACGAGTTTTCCTTACTATTGTATATAAGCCAAATGTCGAGGGCAGGGAGAGTCAACTCTCCTCGAAATGCTCTCACATGGCCACGTGCATACAACCATTGCCATGGAAGTCCTGTATCAAAGAGACATTCCGAAATAGCATTGCTTAAAGCCGTTAGTATCACTGAGCCTACGTTTAAATCCGATTTCGTCACTCAGTTGCGTCAATACTGTGGGTTGGTTCGTTTACCCCTTGAAAGGATTATGCAATAGGATCATGATATGTTATATGACTACCTATCAGATTTACTTTGAGTCTTGACGATAAACAGAAGAGGATGTTGTACATGCACCAAAGAAAAACCTTTTAAGCTATTCTAAGGTGTAGCGAATGGCCAACAGTCCGTCTAAGTGTCTCTATACACACTAGATACGTACGTGGCACTATGACATTGGATGAACGTTCGTACCATCATCCCTAAGTCACGATCACATGGCCATGGTAAGTCACGGAGTCAAGACCACGTACCACTGCAGCTTAAGGGCTTAGAATCGTCTGGGAGTTATGATGAACTTTAAGATAGACCAACACATGTTCACCTCGGCAAACGGAGCCTTAGTGTAATCAAAACTAGGTAGTTGTATGCAGGCTACAAGACACTGTTTCGACGCGACTGAGAACTTTTGAAGTACAGAACACCGACAACCACGAGTGTAGCTTATCATACAATGAGCGACTTGAGGAATCGTATCAAGTATGTGGATTAATTACGATTCATATATTGCCAAAAAAGAATTTTGGACATGGTACATTTTCATTTCTTTTGGTTGTCATGAAAACTCAGATTTAGTGGAAAATCTTAGGAACAAGTGACGAAAAAAACCCTCAGGGTATACAGGTTCCATCAAGTAATCAAGCCTTGGAAAGTACTGAACAAAGGAGTGCTGTCTGAGCATCAGATCGATACACCGAAGAGAAGACTCGTGATATAGTATATGATCAGGTTATACCACAACCAAATGTATGGAGAGCAAACATAACAGCTATACAGAAGTAAGCTGTAACAACGGACTGGTCAGTAAATAACAGCTCATCGACTGAAAAAGCATGGTCCACATGGCTTAGTCACGTCCCTGTTTATACTATGCTTAGAACCACGTAGACCCAATAACTCCCCATCATGGACAACTAGAGGTCCAGAAAATTCTTTGAAGTAGGGAGAAGCGTTAGGATGTGTTTATCTCAACAGGCTCTAAACAGTGCAGATCCATTCATTATAAGACTAGGAACTCATGCACAGCGTTGATAAGTAAGGCTAGACGTTTGTATAAAAAACAACTGATTAAGGGTTGTCACAACAGTCCCAAAATATTGTTCACGCATACAAAGAGGCTAACTCAAAGTGATGGGATCCCACCACTTTTGGTACAAGAAAATCCGTCGATATTGGCAAATGATGTGACAGAAACTGGGGCTTTATCAGATTACTGTAGTAGTGTTTTCTGCCGACGATAGTGAAAGACCATCAATAAATTGTAGTAATGGAGACTAGTCGATGGGTCCTCTGGTTATTAATAAAGGAGCTGCTGTTAGAGATGTCTCACAATTACTTCAACATCTGAAACCAGATAAGTCCAGTGGTCCTGACGATATTCATCCCAGGATTATGGGAGCCCTGGAGGATGTAATTACTGAACCTCTGGCGATACTGTTTCGTATGTTTGAGGTAGTCAAACCTGCTAACGGACTGGAAAAATGCAATGATCAGTCCGGTTCATGAAGTACGGAGCAGAAACTTATTAACTATCAGTCTGTTAGTTAAACCAATGTAGGTGTTAAACTAACGGAAATTATTTTTCGGATGGCTATTTTGAACTGTGTAAAAGGGAGTGACTCTTTAGCCAAGAAACAACATGGTTTAATGAAAGGTTTTTAATGCTTGGAGAATCTGCTCGTTGAAAGAGGAGATTGGGCTGTGGTGAAAGACAGTAGTATTCTGGTAGATGTAATTCTTCACATATCTAAGTAAACCT